CAAAACACCTGGCCAATAGTCAGAAAATCACTAGATGAAGCTAGGCGGGCATACAAAGCACAAGCCGATAAAAAAAGGGTTGAGCCTACACCATTCATTATAGGAGAAATGGTGTACTTATCTACAAAATACCTAAAGTCCCTACAGCCCTGTAAAAAACTTGGACCAAAATATATAGGACCTTTTCCAATTAAAAGGATCATAAATCCAGTAACAGTAGAATTAGAATTACCCAAAAACCTCAGGCAAATACACCCAATTTTTCATTGCAGCTTGCTGAAAAGAGAGCATCAGTCACCTCTACGGCCAAAAATCCCCCCCCCACCACCTCCAATCATGGTGGAGGGGGAACAACACTTCGAAATAAAAGAGATCCTTGACTCTAGGAGATATCGTGGAACAACTCAGTACCTAGTTGCCTGGAAACACCTCCCTGCCTCACAAAATGAGTGGGTCCATAAACGTCACGTCAGAGCCCCGAAGCTATTGAAGAAGTTTCACACAGAGTATCCTAACAAGCCTAACTAAATTTTTTACTTGTGTTTTCTTTCAGGTGGATCTCTCTTATTGTTAAGAGGGGCCGGATGTCAGAATCCAATTATATTTCATCTTTAATTATCAAACATAGAAACTCCCAATTCTGCCTTCTCTGGATTCTGCCATAAGAGGGAGAAAAGGGGGAGAGCAAAGGGGCTTTATGGCCCTCACTTCCTTCAGCACACTTCAAAGGACTGAATGTGTGTTTATTGTGGCCTCTAAGCTTTAACATATCAAAGAAGAGTAATTGCCTTTCATGTAGTTATCTGAAGTCTCCATCCAGACGGAAGAAGAAAGGGGATGGAATTGTGATACTTGAAACTATCACTGGAAGGGGGGTTGATTGGGTGGGACTACTGGGGAACCCCTTAAAACCTTGAATGGGAGAGCTTGAACCCCAAGTCCTGTCTAGCATGCCTGCAACCATTTTCTCTTAATAAAGGATTCCTGTTGGAAGAGCTATTCCAAGAGTTCTGTCTTCTTAAGATGCAAAGTGGGGTGGGTCCTTACAAATGGATTAGTTGATAGATTAGGCATCCAGAGTACAAAGAAAATAAAATATTTAGGGATACAATTAACAGCTAGACGTGCCACACTTAAAAGAGATAATTATGATAAATTAATGGAACAGATTAAAACTGATTTAGATATTTGGACCAATCTGCAGCTCTCTTTCATGGGTAGAATTGTTGTAATTAAAATGAACATGCTACCCAAAATATTATTTTTGTTCCAATGCATACCCATCAAATTAAATAAGAATTTTTTTTCAAAATTTCAATCAAACCATACTTAAATTTATTTGCCAAGGGAAAAAAGCAAGGATTAAATTAAAACTATTGCAAGATGCAAAGGAAAGGGGTGGACTCGGTCTCCCGGATCTGGAAAAATATTATCAGGCTACAGTATTATTATGGGTGCGGGATTGGATACAATTGAAAAATAGGAGATTATTAAGTCTGGAAGGTCATGATTTGCAGATTGGATGGCACGCTATGCTATGGGATCAGAAATACCAGGTCCACCAGTACTTCCGGAGGCATTACATCAGACGAGCGCTAACAGACGTATGGGAATTAGGCAACAAAATTATATGCAAGTCCACAACTGGATTTCAACATTGGAAATGCATATACACCCAAAATTTATACAATTAGGGAAAGTAATAACGTATAAAAATGTATTAGACGAGAGAGTGGAATTGAAATCAAGGAAAAATCTTCAAGATGAAGGGATAGAATTGGAATGGTGGGCATATCTTCAACTACAATCAAGATACAGGAAAGATAAAAAAGAGTGGGGTATAAAAACAGAGTGGATACAGCTGGATAAAATATTATTAGGAACTGAGGATAAGATGATTAAAAGACTATACCACTACCTTTTAGATCAGGCAATGTATGAAGAACAGGTTAAGGAAACCATGTTAACGTGGAGTAGGGATTTCGGCTTCCATATTGATCTGCATATCTGGCAAGAATTGTGGGAACCTAACCCTAACCCACAAGGTTAGTCAAAATGGGCCCAAATCTCTCACCCATGTTAGAAATGCAAATTGGCAATAGGGACCTACTACCATATGTTGTTGGAATGCCCTAAAGCCTGCGATTATTGGAACAAGATAAGAAAATGGTTGGAAGAAATATTATTGATGGAGAAAGAGCTAAAACCAGAACTTTTTTTACTGGGCATAACTATAGAGAAATATGACAAAGGGATAGTTTATTTGATGCTGCACATTCTGACTGCTGCTAGATTGGCGTATGCCCAAAAATGGAAAAATAAAGAAACTCCCACAGAGGAAGAGATATTATATAAAATATTATCGTGTGCTGAAATGGACAGGCTCACGATGGAACTAAAGGACAAGTGGATTAGAATATACTTTTTACAATCTCTTTTGCCTTGCATCTTAGTCTCCCAATTTAATTCTTTAACTCTTTGTCAGAAAAAGAAATTTGGATTTGTAAATGTTTCGCAGTTGTGACTTGAGCCTACTTAACGCCCCTAGTTGGGGGGCTGCAAGGCAAAAGAGATTGTAAAAAGTATAACTGCAGTATAGCAGTTAAAAAATGCCAAGGTGTAATCAATCAGACTGGTCTGTCTGAAAAACTTCCTGCATATACTCCCTTGACTCGGCTGGCAGACAGGGGAGGACAGCCTGTGGCTTGGTGGTTAAATCACTGCTTAGTATGTAAACTGCCCAGGTTCGAATCCCATAAAGGGTGTGGCTAACTGAAGAGAGCAGAATGAGCTCGAAATGGCCATCTTAGTCTCCCAATTTAATTCTTTAACTCTTTGTCAGAAAAAGAAATTTGGATACCTCCTGTCGGCAGTGAGAGAAAGGGGGTGGAAATGGAATGCCTGAGACTATCGCTGTAAGAAGGGGGTGTTTGGGTGGGGCTACTGGGGAACCCCTTAAAACCTTGAACCATAGGGCTTGGCCCAAGTCCTGTCTAGAATGCCTGCAACCAGTTTCTCTTAATAAAGATGCCTGTTGGAAGAAAGATTCCAAGAGTTCTGTCTTCTTAAGATGCAAAGTGGGGTGAGTCCTTACATTTATGTACATACATATATATACATATACATACATACAAACACACGCACATACATACATACATACATACACACACATACATGCATACATATATATATATATATATATATATATGAACTTTGAGAAAATAAATACTATTAATCTAGGAGGGATATATATTCTAAGTAGTATGTTATTTCTTATGTTTTGTTACTCTTGCTTTCTTCTCTTCTTTTTTATTTCTTTTTCGTTCTTCTTCTTTTCCCCTTTCTTTTTACTCTTTTATCCATGACTTAAGAAATGTAAAAATATGGAAAAAATAGAATTAAGTCTGTCAATGTAAATGTAACTAATCGCTGAGAAAAGCTTTACAGCAGTGGTTCTCAACCTGTGGGTCGGGACCCCATTTGGGGTCGAACGACCATTTCACGGGGGTCGCCAAACAACGCAGTCTGCCATTTTCCCCCCCCTTTTCCTTAGCTATGCTACTCCCTTTTATTCTATTGGCTTTTGAAAGCCAATAGAATAGACTCTCTTGAATAGAGTCTAATTCTATTGGCTTTCAAAAGCCAATAGGAATTGTCCAGGCTGTCTCTGCCCTGCTGAGCCCGCCAAAAGTCCCATTCTGCAAACGGTGCTGCACCAGTTGAGTAGTCCTCGACTTACGACCGGTTGAGTAGTCCTCGACTTACGACCGGTTGGGGGTCGCAGCATTAAAAAGGTTGAGAACCATTGTAAGAATATTCAAGGTGGGAGAAATAAACTAAAATAAGGATTGTAACAGGATCGATGATAAGGCAATCCAAATGACTGAAAAGAAAAGAAATGTACTAATATGATGATTATTTTTTAGGAATATTGGAAAAATATATACTAAATTGTCATTTATTAAAACAATAAGAATTGTATTAACTCAATGTTTGCAAAAAAGGGGAAAGAGGAAATCAACTAAAATTAATATATGGAATACAGACTATAGAAGTCAATTGTTAAGGTGTGTCTTTACAAATGTAACCCAGACAACACACTGTTTACCAATTATTGAGTGACTTATGCTTGCAAAAGAATTAATAAAAAATATAATACAAAAAAAATAATCTAATGGAAAAAAAGAACAGCGTGGAGAAATAGCAGGACTGAAAATAAATGGGTTGTATTATATGTAAATGTTAATTCTGATGGCCCAGAATAAGATCTCTCTCTTTCTTAGGCATCTGACATAGATGTGCTCTCCAGTTGAACAAGAGAAAGTAAGATCACACCTCCTAATATAATCTGTCAGTTGAAAAATCCAGGGTGCGTTTAACTGAAACTTTACAATTCTATTCTTGGGAGTCTTTTAGGTTTCATTGCTTTAATTGAATACTAATATTCAATTAATATTAACATTCAAGAGAAAAGACAAATTGCATAAATTCCCAATTCAGCTCTGAGGGCAGTAGCTGAAGTCCTTTTGTCTACCTCCAGGATGCTCCTCAGATGCTGAGATTTGGATTGTTTTAGTAGTGATATATATTAAGCACCAAACTTCAATTCGATATAAGCGTTTCCGGGTAACTTTGTCATTCTTAGTCTACCTAACCTGTAATTTCTAGAGTCCTATTTATTCTATTTTATTTATATATAGAAATACTATTATTGCCAACTTGAATCCAACTGGACATTATAGATATTATTTATATGTGAAATGAACATGCCAATATAGGGCTTCACAACTTGGGATATTTTTTGAACATCTGAATATCTGCTTTCCAGGGACCTTATTGCTCTTCAGGCCATTTATGACGAATCTGAACATGAAAAAAACCAAGTTTACTAAGATGGTGAAAAGCAGCTCTTGAATTCCATGGAGAAGATATGACGGCATCTATTGCTACCCATCACCAACCCACTCACTTTATCAGATAGAGGAAAAAGACACACAAACCTGTGGGACTTTGTAAGTGCCTGCTAATGTTGACACCTGGTTGGAGATGTCCCTGGCAGCTCCATGAAGAAGAGCCAAAAGATTGTCCCTCCTTCCACCGCCATAATTGGGGACATCGGCTTCTCCAGTGGAGAGAATGTCCAGCAAGGCGACTGAAGCGCTTAAAGTGCTCAAATAGTTGCCGTGGAGGTTGTAGCCAAGTGTGAGATTGTGCAGCAGCTGGGAATTCTTGTTGACCAGTTGAATAGCAAAAGCGAAGCGTAGGGTTTCTGAATAACCAAAAGAAAACGTAAAAAAAATGTTCATGTTATTATCATCATACCACTAGCAAATTCTTTTTTAAAAAATGCAATCCTCTTTGTCTCCTTAAGCTACTGAGCCTTAGGCCTACATTGATCCAAAACCAAAAGATCATTTAGTTCAGTAATCAAGTAACAAACCGAAGAATCTACAGGGAGAGGAAAATAATCTCAACTTTGTTCAATTTGTTCATCCCCATTTTTGAATTGAGTTTCTTCCACAAAATAAGAAAAAAGAGCAATAGAAATCAAAATCTTTCAGGGACTCAGACAGGTCCTGTAAAATAGACCTAGATGAAATAAGGAGGGGAAAAAAGAGTATTAAGGGTGCAAATGGAGGGAATGGAACTCCATCACCCTGAAGGACTTACGAAGGAACCGGATTAGACGGAGCATGGTTGAAAGGGAAGACTCTAGGCGATGTTTCTGTTCCAGGGGGGATCGGAGCGGTGAGGGGGTCTCCTGGCCTGTGATAGCTCCATGGCTGTTTTTCACCCTGGTGGCCCAAACTCAGCCGGCCCTTCGTTCGAAGCCTCCCAGAGGCGGACTGGGACACCAACAGCATCCGGAGCAGAAGGTCCATCGTTCTTGGGGCTGAAGCAATCTCCTCCCCAGATCTTAACAAAAACAAAAGGCAGGTTAGAATTCAAAGCACTCACACAAAATGGAAATGTTGGTGGCTTTCCTGACTCAGACAGAGACAAAGCAACTTTTGTTTGGAAAAGCAAGAAAAGAAGACTCAAGCGCAGACTCTGCCTGTCTGAAAACTTGTGCCCCCCACAACGTGACGGAAGAAATCTACCCTTCTCTGACGAAAAGCTCTTCCATTTTGCTTCAGTCTGAAGTTTACCTTGGAGACAGTCATTGGAGAAATAGCAGGAGAACTCTCCAAGAGAGGGATAATTATTCCCGGGAGAAGCAACTTTCCCACCGGGGACCCTGACCATCTTTGGGATCCAGGCGAAGTCTGCGGCCTGGCCCTGAAGTCCGGGCTCTCCTCCACAGGCAGTGAGAGGGACAGCTAAAGCCGCCAAAGGACCCTGCAGCCTCCTCCATTTTGTGGCCTGAGGGGATTCTTTCTCCCTCCATTTCAGGGGGCGAAAAAGCCGCGGGGAGACTTTCTTTCCTCTCTTCCGCCTTCGGCTCTTCTCCAGCCGGGGTCAGGGAAGGTTCCCAAAGGGGGAGGGAGGCGGGGGGAGAAAGACCCGCAGCCCCCCCGGTTCTTTGGGGAGAGTCCCGGAGGGTCCCAGGGCTGGAGGGCCTGGGGAGGCCTTTGCTGCAAGAGGCGCCTGAATAAACCTCAGAAAACCCCCCCAAACAGCTGAACCTCCCGGGGGCTTGAGCAGAGTCCCTCCCCAAAGGTTACACGGTTGGACTAAGGCCGGATCTGAACACAAGGGTGAAAGAGAAAACCTAAAGCCTCTGGATTTCTTTTTTCAGGAGTGTAATTCCAGGTAATCAATTTAATGGGTTTCAAGGAATCTAAAATGTCCTTGATGGTCCATGGTCTGGGGTGATATACCCAAAGCTATCTGCAGGGGAAAGCTTTTACGGGTCTATGTTGAATCAGAATAGACCTGGAAGGGACCTTGGAGGTCATCTAGTCCAACCCCCTGTTCAGGCAGGAGACCCTATACCCTTTCAGACAGGTGGCTGTCCAGTCTTTTCTTAAAAACTCTAGTGATGAAGCACCTGCAACTTCTGAAGGCAAAGCTGTCCACACTGTTAGGAAGTTTCACCTTCACTAATTCCAGGTTGCTTGATTACTTTCCCTCCATGGTTTCTCGTTCTGCCTTCTGGGGCTTTGGAGAATAAGCTGACCCCTCTTCTTTGTGGCAGCCCCTCCAATATTGGGATGCTGCTGTCACGCTCTTACTAAGGATTTATACAGGGATACTAAAACTTAACGTGATTTGGATTCCATCCCTCTGTTTACACAACCAAGGGTTGCATTAGCATTGCTGGCTGCTGCCACACACGGCTGGCTGATTTGCCCCCAAGCTGCAGAATGAGAGAAGCAGCGTCTCTTTTGCTCTCCCCCTTCGTAATTGCCCTGGAGGTGCTGTGAGGTCCTTTCTTCCCCCTTTCTCTCTCTGGGGTCCCTGCCTGGGGCTCAGGAGGAGCATTTCCCGGCCATCATCGGATCAAGTGGGAAAGAAGCCCCAAAGGGAAGACATTCCTGCCTTGGCTGTGATCGGGGCTCGGAGGGGACACAACACCCACATTCTGGACAGGGAAGATGGATGGCTTGAGAGAGAGCGAGGGAATCCATTTGGGCCGAAGCGGAGGCTCCTTCGCTCAACAGAGACGGAGGCCTCAGACACAACCTGTCCCCCATTTTCTGGGCTGCTCTCTCATCAGCCCCCAGGAAGATCAAGGCCAGGAACCCATAAAGACCCCCCCAAGAATTTCAGGAGTTGGTACATTCCAACGGCTTTCTGCCTACCCAGAATCCCCTTATCCAAGTGGTTTAGACCAAAGAAGCTGCTTGGAGAAGCCGCAAAACCTCTCACCGAATAAAAATAAATCCAGTTGCCATGACTCCATTTCCAGACATCCATCTTAATGTTATCATAGTTGAGAACAGAATAGAAGAGAAGGTAGAATTGAATAAAATATAGAATATAATATAGTACAGAAAATAGAAGAGAAGAGAAGAATAGAAATAACTTTATTATCACTTTAAATGTATACTAATCGGCATACATTAAAATGAAATTTCATTGCATACAGCTCTTAAAGGGTCAGCATGGTGGGAAAAAGAACCTATTGTTTTTGCAGGAACCGTAGAAGGGCAGGCTAATCCTTGGAAGAATCCATTATACATATTTCTAATCTCATGAATTCTGCTTAAGCATGGAAACTGAACGTAGGAGTCAGGATCAGAGGCCCCTGCAATGCTCAAAACTAGTTTTAACCAGAATTAGTTGGCACGATGGTTGATTCAGAGGCAGCCCACAGGAACTAACAGCTATAAAAGGTAATTTGTAAATAAGGGCAGGGGGTGATAGAATTTGAGGAGTGGGAGATGTAATCAGGGGTGGGGAATAATGTATTCACTTTAGGCACTTTGGATAGGTTGTGACTGCCTGAGTACTCAGCCAATGAGGGAAAGGTGGGAGGTAAATTTGTGATGGTTATAGGGAATATAAAGAAATTATATTGATGATTTTAAGGTGTGTACACTGTACCTGCAAGTACAAGATACATCCTCTTTGCAAAGTAGTAAAAATAAAGTACCACTGCTTTCTCTTGGAAGTTTTGGCTGGCAATTGTTTCTTCCAAACTAGACAACGAATCCCACACCATCTCCAATATACACTCCATAAATATGATAAAAACCCTAACCTTGAGATATCTCTCTTATGTAAGAGATGTGGAAGGGAACACATCCTCTCTCCGTGCTTTAGCTGTTCCTCACACTGCCTGCGAGGAGCGGTCCACGGTCCGGCCTTTCAGTCCCAGCTGGCCCGCCAGGCAGCGAGGAGGGCAGCTAAAGCCGGCAAAGACCCCGCAGCGTCCTCCATTTTGTGGCCTGTCTCTCTTTCCTGAGGGGAATCTTCCTCCCTCCATTTCAAGGGGGAGATTTCCTCTCCTCTCCAGTCAGGGAAGGTTTCCCAAAGGGGGGAGGCTGGGGGGCGGAGGGGGGCCTTCCCGGTTCTTTTGGGGGGTCCCAGAGGATCCCAGGGCTGGAGGGGCCCCCAGAGGTCACCTAGTCTGACCCCGGCCCAAGCAGGAGCCCCCCCGCCCCCTGAAGGGATCCCTCTGGGGCCCCCGAGCCACTCGTGTGCCCTGGGAGGGCAGGGTGTCTCCCCTCAGATGGGAAAGCGGGGAACGGGGTGGTGGCCCTCCCTGGGCTGGCCTCCTCTCCCCTCCTGCCAGGGGTCGGGAGGAAGGATGGACGCTGCTGCTTGGCGGACTTCCCCCCAAGCGCCTCCCCAGCCGCCCCTTCCAGAGGCGGAGACCACAGCTCCCATCAGCCACCGCTAGGCAGTGGGCAGAGGCCGAAGACGGAGCTCTGGAGTGGGCCCTTCTCTCCCCCGAGGGGGCCGGTGGGCTGAGTGGTCGCAGCCGGAGAGGAGGAGGAGGAGGGCCCTCCTGGAAGAGCCCCACCAGCCCTTCCTGCCCCAGGGAAGTTTGGGGCAGGAGAGCCTCGCTCAGCCCCCGGGAAGCTTTGGCAACCTGTTCTGAGTCCCTCTTGGTGAGAACAACAACAACAACACTTGGCTGGTTTAAAGAAAGTTAGGGCTGGATGGGAGACCACCAGGTTATCTTAAGGCTATAAAGTTGGGTAAACCTTCCAGAAGAAGGTAAGGGCAAAACAAAATAGCCAGGTTGTTTTCATGAAACATTTATTTAGGGAGCCAGCTGGATAGAGGGGTTTTTTTTGGGCCCACAGTCACAATTCTGTGATCATATTTTGCCTCATTTATAGAGGGACTCTGCACATCTACCGTGGCCAGTGCGAATTCAGTTCAGTGTTGTCCATATCACACGAGGCTGGATAATCCAGATGTTTTTGGAGGGAGAGAGAGAGGAAGGGGAGGGAAGCAGAGAGAGGGAGGGAGAGAGGAAAGGGAGGGAGGGAGGGGAGGGAGAGAGAGAAAGGGGGAGGGAGGACAGAGAGAGGGAGGGGAGAGAGAGAGAGCATGCCTGCTTTAGCATCACCAACCCTAATGCAAAGATGCACCAGGCTGGGGTTCGAGAGTTCCCCTGCCCAGGTTCCTTTTCCTTTTAGCAAGAATTTTTGTCACCCTACACAGCAAGGCTGAGCTCGGACAGCCATTTTTTCTTTGCAAATGTTTGTTTGGCAAGGTCCTCAGAACAGCAATATGTAACACACACACACACACACACACACACACACGCACGCACAGGGCCTGAGGATGGTGCCAGGTAATGACAATTGGGTGGGGTTCTTAGTGCTCTCTGAGCCTGGCGGTTTTCTGGCAGACCTTTCAAGACCCAACTAGGTAACATCATCAGTACTTTTCTCTGTGTTTCGCCCTCTCAGCACTGATGGCCATCATCACTTGCTGTGCAGGTTCTGAGGGGTTGCTTGATAAAAAAATACAGGAAACCAGAAGTTCCCTTTAAGCTTTACATTTTTATTCAGCTGAACAAAGCCCCGAAGGAGAAGAAATCCGTGTATTTATTCCTTCTGATTACATAAGCAATCCACCCGGCAGAGCTGACACACACATAAGATCAAGATTTCGCCCCGTAAGTCTGGCACACTGTAGCTAAGAAGGGAGAAAGCAGAAGTAGCTAAAAATGTTCCCTTTGGGGGGTTTCTCTAAAGACCTCGGACGTTCCCGGGTGGGTTAGGACGTGGGCTGTTTTCCTTGCTGCCCTTTCACGACCTGCATCCATGACTCTGCAAGGGCCCAAAGTCAGCGGGGCCCTCTGCACACATTCACAATTGATACTTCCTATGCTGTCTCCTAATTTGGGTCAACACACTGATGATGTTTCCTAGCTGGGTCTTGAAACGTCTGCAAGAAAACCACCAAGCTCAGAGAGCAGCAGGAACCCCCCAGTTCAGCCCTGAGCTACACATTTTCTCTTCGGTTGGAACGACTAAACCAGCAGTTGGGCAAAGGATGTTCAGAGGTTCTGAAGGCCAAAATCTGACCTTGTGGTTTTTTCCCTCCCTACAAAGCTCAAGAGATGGAGAAGAAGCCCAAGAACAAGAAGGAGCATAATGTCACATGGGCACAAGAGGATTTCCTAAGTTCGGGCCCAGGCATATTTTATAACGACATTTCCAAAATGGCTAAGGTAGGTTTTAGTCCAGCCTTTTGCCTTCTTCTTCTTGACCTTCCTTTCTATCCTCCTCCTTAGGACCTGGAGATGCTCCAAAAAGCCAGTGTAACAGTGGGGACGGCATGATCCAAAGGCTGGAGTTTGGCTATCCAATCCATACAATCCATGGGATCAACGTATAAGAATGTATTAGAATCTAGATTATGTGAAGGGTTAATACCACTTTGTAGTGCCTCAATAAGGCCACACTTAGAATA